TGCGGCCCTTTCTCTACCCCATTGAATCGAAGCCTTAATAGCAGCCATTTACATATTAATTACATGCCATTGTGTTTCTGTTTTAATGGGGCATTCTGCTTAAGCAGCTGTCCCACAGAGAAACTCACACAGGCTGATCTGTGATTGGGTCAAACTCCAGCCCGTCGCTCATTTCTGATAAACGAACCTGCACCGCAGCTCCCTCATTTGTCTTTACGACGCAGCACCTGGTCTTTGACTCTTCTTATTAATGTGTATTTTCATTTGATCACTGCGTTGTTTCATAGCCCTGTCCTTGGGCTTCTTTTCCCACCCAGTACCAAGTCAGTCAATTACACAAAATACCGGGTACAGTTGTATTGTGAGCTTAGAGGGAGTGAAAATATGGACTGGGGGTCCCTGGGCACTGCGTTGAGAAACAGTGGATCACTATTGTTATTTTGCTGTGCATGTGCACAAAGACAATGAAGGTGACTAACATGGACCTCCCCTTTATTTATAAGTCATCAGGGTGAAATATTAGTTCATAAACTAAACCAGAGACAGGTCAGAGTATTGGGCAATTTGGTAATTCCAATTAGTCTCAGCATATTTTTGGACTGTGGGGGGAAACCGGAGACCCGGAGGAAACCCCACAATGACACGGGGAGAACATGCAAACTCCACAATGACACGGGGAGAACATGCAAACCCCACAACGACATGGGGAGAACATGCAAACCCCACAACGACACGGGGAGAACATGCAAACCCCACAATGACACGGGGAGAACATGCAAACCCCACACACATGAAACCTGAGCGGAGACTCGAACCCAGGTCCCAGAGGTGTGAGCCAACAATGCTAACCATTCTGCCACCCAAAAAGAGATACATAAAAGCACAATAATTATGCTTCTGTACATTTATCAAGGTACAGGGAAGGTATTTTGAAATAAATTATTAATTAAAATGCAACATTTTCTATCACAATATTATTTGAAAAAATTAACTTTAGAAAGCCGTGATAACAACAGGAGGCATAATTAGTGGCTATTCATTATGATTGCAGATAATGGATACCGTGTTTTCGGCTGCGATCATCAGGAAGCGTTACTGCATTCTGATAGGTTGAAGGAGTGTTGGTAAGTACTGACAAATACCCATAATGATGATGCTGGGGCTGAACTAAAGACGCAATGTCTAGCAGTACACTGTGCTTTAACGAAGGGCGTATATGGGGAAGCCCAGACGCTGGTTAGTGTGTAAATACCACTTGAAACCTCAGCACCTTGTTGTCCTACTTGTATGTTATTGCAAATTTATGTACTACATATTGCATGCATGTTATTCATAATCACTATTCTGTTATTTATTTGTTATTAATACCTTCATAACGCAGTACAAAGCATCCTCCATTCTTATACTGACCATTATAATGCACTATGAAAGTATTTATAGTGCATTACAGATGACAGCTTCATAGAGCATTCATAATGCATAATAAACATGGCTATGTAGTGTTACCAAACATTCTTTTAAAAAATTGTATTGATATAATTCAAATTAATTTGAGAAGTATGTGCACTAGAAAGAGAACAGCTGGAGTGTGATGGTAAGGGAAGCCTCTGGGTGAGAAAGGACCAGGCCGTGCTGCCGGCAGGTAATCAGGCAAGTGCCATCCTCATTCTTAACACCTGCTGCACCCCTTTGCCTGTACAGGGGCCTGGGCAAGGAAGATGGCAGAGCTCAGATGACAGGGCATAATTCCAGCCATGAACCAGCAAATCATGGCAAGAAATAGGAGCTATTAACTGTCAAGATTAATAGAAAGCATTTTATCTGAATTGGTGGGTTTAGGAGAGGGTGAGAGAGAGAGAGAGAGAGAAAGAAAGAGCGAGAGAATACAGACGCTCCTCTACTTACGAACTATCAGACATACGAACGAAGAGGACTTTTCAAATTGTGTTCATTGGGCTCCCGTTTCTTGTCCGCAACATCAATTTTTTTTTCTGCGCGCCAATTCCGCCTAGTACACCTTCTGGCCGCTACTCCCGCCGCGCAGCAGTGTAGCGTGCGAACTCCCAGCATCCTAGTGCTTTGTACTTGCGTATACCATTAAAATGATGTTGAATAACGGCTTACGAACATTTCTGGTTACGGCTGTTCAGAACATATGTCATTCGTAAGTAGAGGAGCGTTTGCACTTAGCCAAGTGTGTAAAATTTTCCCTTCCGATCAATCCTGATTACCTAATGACTGTGAACACTAATAATCAAGTGTTTTTCTTTTATTTCTGTTTGTGACAGAATAATGTCACATTTTCTCTCTAAATTAATCTTCTTGGAGCCAAACAGAACTTCTTAACTGGTAGAAATCATCTCTAGGAACAGTACTTACCTAATAATTCTGCATCCAAAGCGCCCATGCCACCGTGTCTGTGTGTGTGTCTGTATATATATGTGTGTGTGTGTGTGTGTGTGTGTGTGTGAGTGTGTGTGTGAGTGAGTGAGTGAGTGTCTAAAAGCAGAGCATGCTGGGACATCCAAAAAGAATATGGATAAAAGTGTCTTCTTTAATAAATTAATATAGTTTAATAGCAAAAAATCCTAATTAAATTATAGTACTAAGTAACCTAAGTATTCCAAAGTACCTGTACTTGTGCAAATGGCAAATGAAGCATCATTTAGTTTAATTTAATTTAACTTCATTTTTCATTTGACATAAACACTCAGTGGCCGGTTTTTTTCCCAGGAACCACTTCAAGGTTTGCCAAGCTGTGTATTCAGGGATGCCTGTCTGAACACCGCTGCTGAACACCGCTGCTGAACACCGCTGCTGTACTTCTGCAGGGTAAGTCAGTCTCTCACACATGCTCCTCCCCTGCAGTAAAACACTCCAGGGGGGGCCCACCTCGTGGGGGCCACTACCTCCTACACCACACTCCAGCACTGAAGGACTGGTGCAGGCCCCCTCGTGGGCTCTACCCCCCGAAACGGTGCCCGCGGCCTCTCCGGTGCCCTTTCCCCGTGCCCTTAAATAAACCTCACCCCTCTGGGTGTTTTTTTCATGGACTTTCATACCTCCTCACTCAGCACACCAATAAAGTGGCCACCAAGTGTGTCGTTTTCAAAAAAAAATCCCAGAGGAAAGACGGTAAATCTTGTTACTTTTACGGGATGAGTTTAACAGCATACCGATTTTCACACTTGACCTTTTTATACTGCTGGATATTGATACAAAGTGAGGGGCCTTTCTCTATGGCAAAACTGCAGAGGACCTTGTAGACGCGAACTGATGATCATTTGATCACAAAACCAGGTTCACAACGGCTATAGCATTAGGCTCCCAAACCGCACCAGCACCGTACTGGGACCGAGAATACAGAGCTATATTGTCTGCGAAAGCGAAATGCCAATAAATTGCTCAGTGGGAAAAACCATGAATGTCAAAATGCAATTCAGCCCACCTTTGGGTGAATTGGAAGCACCGGATCTTCGCCTTTTTTATGGCGTATTGAGCTCTGTGTGAGCTGGAAGGCAGTAATCTCTTTGTATTTACCCTGAAGGAATGTACGGCATTATTCTCCATCCGGCGATAAAGGAGACCTCTCAAAACTACTTTCCAGAAGCAACTAATTTCTTTCCAAATGAAAAAGGACGGACGTTGTGCCAGGAACTGCTCTTTCACTTCCACATTTTCCATAATGATAAAAACACTCTGGACACTGTCAGATCAGAGGACATGACGGCCGGCTTCTCTGGCATCTCTTCTACAATAAGAGCCAGGCAATCTTCAGTTCCTCACGCTATAAATGAATTCTTCAAGAAATGACTGCATCTGTGGGAAAAACTGAAGGGTGGCTGTGAAGGACCAGAAGATAAACGAGCTCAATACGATACAAAACAACGTCTCTACGAAATATTATGCCTACTTATGTCTTTTTTCACACTCCAAGTTCTGTTAATCCCATGCAAGGTTTTAAAGTCTTTGAATTAATTCCACTATTTATCAAGAAGGAAGACAAGTGACACAACAAAAAATTTTAGAAAGCTGAGCAAGAATGGAGAGAAGAAATTCTAGTAATATTTTCTAGGGCACAACTGTGGTTCATTTGTGGAGATATTTAACTGGCAGAGACTAAAAAAAAATCAAAAACATACGTTCTTCTTTTGTTCTGGTGTCAGTTTACTTGGAAGAATAATGTTACATTAAAGCAGTAAATCAGAAGAAAAAAAATTCTGGCTCTCAAGCAACTTGGACTGTAATCTGAGAGAGAGAGAGAGAGACAATTGCAACATTTAATGTGAATGCGGCGTGCCAACGAGTTTGCAACATTAAGACGGCAATGCTTTGGCCAAGATTTGAAAAAAAATCACCCAAATGCACAAGCACACTAAGGTACTTGCAAACAAAACCGCCAATTCTGCAATACGGCCTGGAAGCCCCAGCTCTCACTTTGCACCTCGTTTGCAGTGGTTCACAAATCACCAGCAGGAGGTGGGATCAAGTCCTAATTAAAAGCAGAGCCCATAACAAGGAGCAACATGGGATACTCATTCTGGCCAGACACAGCTTCAACATGGAGAGGTTTTCCAAAAAGGTATTTGTTGCCCTGTTACGGCACCTTGATAACAGTAATAAAAAGACCTTTCATACAGACAAATTCAAAAACTCCAGAGCATGAATTTCAGAGTAAAAATGTTTCAAAATGATACTAAAGAAAATGAAAGCAGTTTGCGATATGACAACTACAAACATCCGTATACTGACATACAAAAAAATGGCAAATGATTAGATTACTCACCAGACTAACAATTTGTAAAAGGATATGTAATATGTTGATTCATATACTTTTTTATAACATTGTTTTACAAAGAAACCCAGTGCTGGATAAATGGTTCTAAGATGAATGTACAGATTTTATTAAAATTCTCTAATTTGGCATGTTTCCAAAGTGATGACAGAGCATTGACCCTCTGAAGGTGGGAGAAGACATCTGTGGGCGGGTCTGCACTCACCTGTACGGCTGCAGGGTCCTAGTGCCGTACACTAAAGCCTTTTCCCACTGTCCCAAGTTGATGCAGGCGTCTTGAGCCAGTTCCAGTAGCTTGAGCGCATATATGTTACTGTCTGGGACAGCGTCACCGTTGCCGTCTACGAGGGCCTGGCAGTGCTCCAGCATGGGCTCCCACTCTGTTATTAGATGCAGTTAAAGATATTACTTGAAAAGAAGAGGTACGATCAGAAGAAAAAGTCCAAATGTTTTCATAAGACAGCACAGCTAGAGGGCATTAAACTCGAGCTGGAAGAAGTGATTTGTTTGTGTTGTCAATTCTTTTTGGTCTTGGAAAACAATTCAGGACTTGAAAAAGGCAGCACTCAAAGATGTTAGGGGTTTTCTGTGCCAGCTGACGGGTGGACACTTTGAATTGGGGCATCTTCTCCCTTCTTTCAGTGTGTTTTTACATTTGTCATTTGAGCCCCGCAGCACGAGTCTAGCGGACTAGGGCCAGGAACCTGCCACAGCGGTCCGGATTTCAGCAGTGGCACTGTGCGACTTGGCAAGGGCACCGTCTGAAAACATCTGCACATGCCAAGCTGTCGCCTTCCACTTTGAGAAGAATGCATTTGGAGCCCATTACATCCCTGTTGCCAAACTGTAGGTACATAGTTTGGGATATTTATACTGTGATGCTAAGTCAGTTAAGCACTTTTGGAAAATGGACTGATGGAGGGATGGATATTCTGAGATATTCAGTAGTGGGGATCCAGAGTAAACAGGTTAAGAGAATGAACTGTCCAAGGCTAATCGCTCATTCTACATGGAGCGGAACAGTCTCGGTCCTTTCAACTCTTGGTGAGCCTCTAACTGAATTTTTCCTTTTTGTATCTGTGAGCCAAGAATGAGACTTGCCAATAAGAAGATGGCCGACACTCTCGTACCATGTAGCTCAGTAAGTTTAAAAAGGATACGCTGCTGGTCTTGGAGCTCCTCTATGCGGGGGAGGGCATCTTGCTGGGTCCTCCAGACCTCCCTATCGCCGGCCAGCATGTCCACGTCCTGTTCAATATACATCGAGAAACAAGTAAACAACTAGCCCATAACCAAAAGAATCAATTAGTGAAAACTCCCTCCCAACCACAATTGGCTAATTACTAATCCTGTCATAACATTTGCAGTAAACATTTTTATTTTCGGTTACATATTGGCCGGCTACCACAGTAAACCAAATTGCAGCTCTTTTAATGAACACTGAAAACTCTTCGAGTCAACGAGGCATGAATGTCTCCGGCTATTTGAAAAACAGCTTAAATAAACCAATGGTAGCAAACAAATGCATAAAGTTTTGCTTAATACATAAAAATACATACAGTAAGTATACATAGTACGTTCACTCTAATGGAAATTACAGTATGATGTAATTACAGAGAAATTTACGGTGGTTATTTGATATTTTGACTTTACAACAGTGCGACAGCAATGCACATTCAGTAGTCAACTTAGAACTCTGATCTATTCTCAGGCTAACGACATGCCGTACGATATTTTCTATCGATGCCGGGCAATGGTCACATCCACACAGCCACACTTCCAGTTTCTGTAGCGATTGCAAGCAAATCTCATGCAGTGAGGTTTACATACAGATACAACATATCATAAAATGCTTTTTTGCATGTAACCAAATAAACTTGCATTAATTCATTTACTTTTCAGTTACTGAATTTAGTTACATACAATTGTTTGTTTCCTTATCCAATATTTACTTATTAATTATACCATATTCATGTTTAATTTAAAATATTTTCCACTTATGAGTTAATTGAAATGTAACCTCAGTGTAAGACGAGAAGCATTTGCATTGTGAAAACTGACACTTATTGTTACAGATAGACTATTGTATGTCATTGCAGTTTACAATACAAAGAGATTTCATACACAAGCCCCAACGTTTTATTGTAGTTATGGTGTGTGATAATAAGTCCTGGAAGTCTGTTAACACCTTTGGTATTTTAACCAGCATTTTAAATGTCAAAACATTTCTTTTGCAGATTTAAAGGCAAATCCTTTTGTTCTGAGTGATGCAGCCGAACTATCATACTACTGTAAATGTGCATTTCCACCCCTCAGAATCTTTTATACACCTTTGTGTCAACAGTCAAAGTAGGCCAAGTCAGAGCGGCAGAATCTTCTAGCCAGTCACTATAAACATGTAACAGGCTCTTGTTGAGAGTGTGTTTCATTTCTCCTAGGAGTTTTGCTGACAGGCACACTGGTCTACACTATAATATGTATTACAAACTGTGTGAGCTAGAAAAAGCAAATGTCCACATGTGGAACATCACTAGCAGAGTTTGAAAAGAAATAACTGCAAAATGGGCGTTAATTAGATCATTTACCCGTAGCAGGTGATTTTATGAACAAACCCACTGACATGGATCTTTTGATCTGTTATTGCCATGTCTGAACATAAAGAATATAGTTAATAAACCAACAAAAACCGGTTGCTTGACAATGCACTGCAGATAAGAATTCATGTGTAAAAAGCCATTTGTTTTGAGTGTCTTGCAAGATATCAATCTAGTAGATATGTATTGGTGTTTGAGGCTAGGAGGCATGTCTGTGCACTACCAGGTTGTGATCCAAGCTAGGAGTTTTCGACGGTGATTCTTAGGAGTTTTCGACTACGATTCTTAGGAGTTTTTCCACTGCGATTCTTAGAGTTTTCCACTGCGATTCTTGGGCATTTTGCGTGCAGCTTCATGTCGCCAGTGCAGGTGACGCTGTGCTAAAAGGTTAACGCCGTGTTCTGTGCAGCCTTTCAGAGATTATGACTTGAGTTACTGTGACAAATTCTAGGCCTTTCACTTGAACATAACTGAACTGAAAGGTGAAGACCTCAGAGGACAGAGACCTCGGTGCACATTTTCAGCTCAAGACAGCTAATGGCCTTTTCCTCAGGCTAATAGCAGCCACTTAACTCAGGGCTTTGCAGTTAAAAATTAATTCTTTTACAGTGTATGTTATTAATGTTCCACACTGACTTACAATATGCATCTCCTCAAGTTTTTCCCATGGCTTGAATTAAGGCAGCGTATTAAGCAAAGCCACATGTTGTCTGGTTCGTTTTAGCATAACAGAACAGCAAATTTCCAAAATTCACTCATTACATTTTTATTTTTGCTGATTTTGAGGTGAGACTGCCAGTGACTTAAAGTCAGACTTCCACATCATATGTTACAGAATTGGGAACCAAAACTCACTCATTCCTCATGTAATCTAACAAAGAACTTTTGCTACATTTCCAAAACTCACTAAATCCACAGAAGCTTTCTCAAAAACGCATTCTGTGGATCGAGTGAGTCTCGGAAATTTGCTCTTCAATTATTTACAAGAGACTCATACAATGACATATGGGTGCTACTTTCCTGTAAACTGTCAGCCAGTAACAAATTTCAAGTGCAAAAGCAGAAGGTATCTGTGAAAGACAAGTCGCTTAATATTTGTTTTGCCCTGTTCTCACGGTGAAAAGCTGCTGTGTTGCTTGCTGTGTTTCTGTCGGAGAGACATGATATGAGTTTGGGTCCCTGAGAGACTGGAGTTGAACAGATTCCTGTCAGAATGTGAATGCACAGGAGGACGGAACTATGCTGAGACATCAAGAGCTCAGTGACGTCAAACACACGGTGGCTCTCATACCTCACAACTCCGGGAAAAGATGATATCACCAGCATTCTTTTCCAAAAACAATTCCCAAGACATTCAGCAGAAAGCGCAGTGCTAGATGCAGCGTGCCCACAGCTATAATAATACAATGCATTCATTTGAATTTTTATTACTTCACTTGAAGACAACCATTATTAACAGGATTCATCAGGCAAGAAAATTAAGTTTCCACTTTCAAGTTCTAAAGCCCATTTTAAAACTATTTCCCAGTTTAAGTGTGGAAAGTAGCAGTTTCTATAAGATGTAATTGATAAATGTCAGTCTGGAAGCAGATAAAACAGCCAAGTAAAATGGATGTGACATTTATCAGATAATTATTAGGAACTAAAAAAAATAATTTTTACATGTGGGGGAGTAAATAGAGTGAACTGACTCTGGGATTTGAACTGTGACCTTCTGATTTACAAGCACAGTGCCCTAACCCCCCCCCGGGGCACAATCCACCTCCCCAGACACCCAGAAAAGGGAATTTACCTCATCAAATGTCCCACCAGTGTGATTATAAAACTGACGTATATTTGGACATTCATGTACACATCCTGCATGTACACATCCTGCATGTACACATCATGCATGTACACATCCTGCATGTACACATCCTGCATGTACACATCATGCATGTACACATCCTGCATGTACAATCCCAGCCGTAGATAAGATACGTGTTTACAGGGCATGTCTGTTTGTTTTTTTTTCAATGAACTGACAAGCTTCTGACGAACACAGGCGAACGGACGATTAAATGCATCTCTGGCTTCTATACAGAGAACAAGGCATTATTTAATGCTACATTTAGAACCAAACTGCCAAATCAAAAAGCAGTATCAGACCTATTAAGAACAATAATTTAGGTAAATGTGATGTTTTTCAGAGCAATCGATGATGCATGCCATCGAGGCCAGCTTTAATCGACCTAACCCTGCTTGAGATGTCTTCTTTATAAGACCATGGCACGCACTTAAAGATGTCTATTTCTGTGTGGTGCTATGGAAAGATTATCTTCTCTCCTCCCTCTGCGCATGTCTGACATTTTAATTACTTGGCCTTACGTCAAATCCCATTTCATTTTCTTAGCAGCTCTCTACGGCCACTAAATGGCCCCGGAGTATGAAATTATACCTCCATTTGTGCTTCATGCAAGACAAAATGAGCGGCGTGCTATTCACTGCTGTCGCCAATGACGACGTAATTTCCTTTTGAACAAAATATGAAAAAGAGCAATTATGTCTGCTAATCTATTTTTAACTGGCTTATTTTGTTAACCTGTAGAATAACTGGTTCATAACTAATAAAAATACCATTTTCTCCCTGCTATTACCTACATGGTAACAGAATATATGCAATGAAAGTTCATAAGTAAGTACTATGAAATATCACTCATAAGTAGATATTCACAATAGTTACTATGCTTGTTTTTTTTAAAAGCTGACAGGAAACACACTCTGCTGGTGACTTTAGTATGGATAATGCAAAATCATTCACAAAAGATTTAACGGGAAATTTGGAAATGCTGCATTGGGTTATCGAAACAATAATGCCCTTGTTAGCCCTTCTTCAGATCATTCCGGTAAAATAGATCAGCTCACAGCCATACACCTGTTTCCAATAGCTTAATGTTCTAATGGTTTAATGAAAATAACGTCAGGGTCATTTTTAAATGGTGCATGTATACCATTAGATTTCAAAGTACCGGTACAGGCAGGACCATATGGGCTGGAACTGCTTGGCGTTTGTGATCCAAAGCGATCCTCTGTGTCCCACAATGTCAGATTTGCTCCCCGCTGCTTGGGGGTGTTTTCAAGGGCAACATCGCTCCAAATCACGGCAGGATGTCAACGGGTGGGAAGCGTGAGACACAGAGTCACCCCTCCTGCACAGACACCCTTGCCACCCGACTTCTATCCCATTCCTACGGTGAATCCGCGGGGTAGGATCTGTCTGCGGCTCCATCTGTTTTTAACACAAACAGGGACAATTTGCTATACGTTTCCTGCGGAGAAATCCCAAACCCTTGATTACATCATCCCCAAGGGGCCCTGCTGGCAGAACAACGCAGTCTCCTTCCGCACCCGTGGTCAACCGTGACCGCTGAGGGGGGAAGGTGCCACGGATCGCCAATTTGGCCCGGTCGCCAGAGGAGGCCACGGACCGTGCGAGAAGGTGAGCGTTCGCTGAGCCGCGGCTGCGCCTTTCTCGGCCGAGCCCACGTGCGAACACCGCGAAGCCGGGCCGCTGCGTATGGACGAAAGAGAGGCCGGCATTATCTTCCCAGCACAGGAATTATAGCCTAAAGCTCAGACCTAAGGCCCAGCTAACAGGCTGAGTTACCAGCACTGGAAGTAGTAGTGCTCCATCTCTGGCTGTTGGTGGTAATACAGTGTCAGAATATTGTAGTACAGAGTGTTCAAAGCGACCATCAAAGAAACACATAGTATTACGTTAATTATGCTATGTTGGCTATCGGTATTTTAGGCCGCGGATCATGTCGCTGGTCCAGTGAGAGTGGTCATAGCCACCCTACATTTTTATGCTTGTCATCTTATTTTAGCTGTTGACAGCTACCGAAGATACAAAAAAAGTTTAGCGAAGTCTATAAAACCGAGATATCGCCTGTATTTACCACTGCTCTAAGCATGTCCTTCTACAGGAGAACTTGCCCAAACAACAAATTCATAAATAAACATATTGAAATCAACTACATGTGATTGCGGCTATCGATCCTCCTCGCTGTGGTGTTATTTCAAGATGTTAGATAACGGGTGAATTGTTAATAAGTCTGCTGTGTGATTTATGGGGTATTTGGGGAAGGGTATTTCCCTGTAGTGGGACACAAAGCTGTCAATCACCACCACCCCGTACCACTTCCATTCTTATCAAACCACATGTTGATTATTCTGACAGAATAACCCCCCCCCCCCCTATCTCCGACCTGCCCGGTGAGTCAGCTATAACCCCCGAGGCAGTACGGCAAGCAGGTTTCTGAGGAATGTTAGCTTCATTTTTCAGCGTCGGATGAGTAGCCTATGAGTGAACGGTTTGCCTGAATCAAATCATCATTCAGACACATTGCATCCATGTGTGAAGACATGCGATCCACATCCATCCAAAAGCTAGCAAATGCACAGGCACATCCAGCACTGCCATAAATCCTGCTTTCCTGAAGAAACATACAGTACATGGGATATATCTCTGCGATACTGCTCGGAAACAAAAAAGATCCCCCTTAGGGATCAATAAAGTTTACTACTTACTAGAAGCGGCTACAAGGCCGCTGATATGAGATGCTGCTGATATCTCTGCTTTGTTGTGGAAATTCCCATTAGATGTTTTAAAATGCATTACATGAAGAATGACTGGATGGAAGCCCGTCAGGTACATTAGGAGGAGTGCTGCCCACTTGTTATAAGCGTCCTAGCTAACGATTTAGTAAACGCTGCTTTTCAGCATTCTCCATAAGACGCTTGATTAGCCAGACCCTAAGGGAGTAGACTTGGGGAGGGACGGCAGCTCAACAAATATTGCAGGAGTACCATAAAGGTTTAGAGGGGCCGCAGGTTTGGGGCAGATTGGTCCCTACAATGTTGAAACCAAACCTACACCCTTGTGTGACCCTGCTGATTGCTCCACCAGATCCTCCTCACCATCCAAAAAAAACCCTGTAAAAAGCCACCACTCAGAACAGGTGTAGTCACGAGGGACCTGATCTCTGGTACTTGTCATCAGCTCTGTGATTGTTTCTGAGATGCAAGTCTTCACACATCCAGGACTGCAATTATCCCTTTGTCATCGCCTGTCTCAGGACTAGCTGCGATGGGGCCGTGCACAGCAAAGCGCATTGTTTCTGCGGCGCACTTAAACCGCAACCATGCCCGCACAATTACATGATGCGAGGGCTCATGCGGCGGAATGCACAGCTCCCTGATGGACGGGTGACATAAGCTAGTTGGCCAGCAGACAGGGAAACACATGACATCACTGGTGTTGAAGACGTGATAAAAGCACGTTCAACACTGCTGGGGACTTTGGAGTCATTGGTAATACACAGGAAATGCAAGTGGAAAGAAAATACTTTTTTTTAGCAATTCCATACAAAAAAAAACATAAAATGCATCATTAATAAAATTCAGTAAAAAAAATAGTAATAATAGTACGTATACATACATACGCATTTTTGTTTGTTTTTATATGTTCTTATTGGGAAAATGTTTCAGTTTTTACATTTCAATTATTTTGTTAGCAATTTTAATTACTGTAATGAGAAAACCATTCCAAACTAACACAATAAAAATATTAATTATAAATAACATATACATAGATACTAGAAATTTATATATGAATGCAGGCAGACAAAATGATACAGAGCCTGATTTGAAGTGCACTTTACAAAAACATAAATGCTATGTTTTAATTAAAATCTGTTCAGTTACAATGTTTCTCAGCTGGAGAGGAGAGAAAATATCCCAGAAAATGTGATTCATGTAAATCGGGAATGCTCATTTCCATTAATAATGAACCAGTTCCTCTTGCTTTCTTTCGGAATCTTAGATAACATCATGGGAAATAACGTAAAATAAAAAGATGAAGACATCCTAATTAAAATACCTGTACTGAGTCTGAATATCAAAATTTAATACTGGATTTATTTGCTTAATTACCATAAAATGAACAGCAGCACATTCCGAGACTTTAAATATCTCAATTGCCACCACAGTCCACTTAACTAGTAAAGGTCCATTTTAGTTTAATGGATCTAATGTATAGTTCTCCCGAGTTCTGGACTTAAGACCTCTCTGCTCTCCGTTCACACTAGAAGAATTAAGATCTACTTATATCACTAGTGCACAACCTAGGTGTGCAAAGTACTTCTTGCACAATTTGAATTCGAGAGGTTTGTGATTCCCCAAATGTGAAAATTTGCAAATAATACTTGTGCCCCCCTAACCTCAACCCATAAGTCTGCTAGCCTAAATGATAACTTACAAAGTCTATTACCAATTTCTAAACAAACAGTACTGCACTGTACACATTGCATGTCAAACTGCTTTGTGTTATTTCCTGTCTAGATCATTTTATATAATATATAAGCCGTCTAAGTTATGCCCCTGTACGTACACAGTTACTGCTGTACGCACTGGGAGCACTACATTGTGGATCCATTATTAAAAATGATAAATTAATGACACTGAAAAGTTTAAAAGTTACTCTGAGAAATGTGAGATTCCACAGCCACAAAGACCCTGAAATGAAAGACCTTTACTGTTCTTCTTCCACTTGCCCAATAAAATCTTGGATCTTCATCCCGAAGAGGCGACACGGTTCTGTAACTTACTCACCATCATCAAGGTATCAGTAAGGTGCCACAAATTTACAGCAACCATCTTACTTTAAATCCTTCCAAACGCAGCAATCCCCAACCTCCAGCTAAATCCCTACTTCACACAATACGATCTCCTACCCTTGATGGCCTTGCAACTTCTCAGCCTACCGGACTCAACCACAGACAGGGAAGATCAACTCCAGCTTGAAGCTACTCAACCACTGTTATACGGGCATAATTCAGGCCTCTTCATATGCCTTCACTTATTGCATGTTACCAATCATGGGACCAGAAAACGCTGACAAACGACCTTTGTCATCCTAAATGCTCAATTTTTATCCTACATATTCCAGTATGGAACCCTTTTGAATATATCACACAAAAAAATCTATATGACTTTGGCATTTTGAATGAATGAATTAATGTTACATTTATATGGCACTTTTCAAGACACCCAAAGCGCTTTACAGAACCAATGGGGAGCCACTTCAACCCCCACCACTGTGTAGCCCCCACCTGGATGATTCTGTGCCAGTATGTTCACCATACAGCAGCTAAGGTGGTGAAGGGGCAGGAGAGAATTAAGGGACATTAGGAGGCCAGATTTAAAAGGGCTACAGTGGGCAGATTTATCCAGGACATTGGGGTACCACCCCCACTCTTTCAAAGGATGCCCAGGGATCTTTTATGATCTCAGAGAATCAGATACTTTGTTAACTGACAGTCAGTTACTTTGTTAACATTCTGTTACTTTGAGTCCAGGCCTTAAGGTTAAGTAAGACTGCGCCAAGATGAAAGGAAAGAACCACTTCTGTCACTGAACGTCACTGAACTTCACTCGCAGAAAGAGCAGAGAAACCAGCTGAAAAATGTTAAAGAATGTTTCTCTTAATCGTTCTAAGCTCAGCATTGTTCATTGGAAAAGTAAAACACACTCTGCAGGAGACAGACACAGCACCACGTAACAATATCAGACATTCTATGCTAACAGTGGTGGGATTCACAAAAACAAACATCTTTCAACATTTTTAAACAAGTTCTATGAAGAAAACAGCTCACCATCTGAACAAAAGCGAGTTCATCACTAAACAATGACAAAACAATAAAAGCATTTTATTGTGGTTCTAACTTGAACTGCTATCACTGTTTCAATGTCATCTCTGCTTAATACAGTCTTACAACATCTTTGAATGATGAAAGCATCAAGAAAAATTTAAGAAATCGGTAAACACTGCACTGTTATGCAGCCTTCTGTTTTTCCAAAGGAACACTAAATTAAACAAATTTAGAGATGTTACTCTTATTTATTTAGCAGAAGACTTTGCCCAAAATGACATACAAGCACGACTTAGACATCAGGCACAGAGAGCCTCCCTGGAGCACTTGGGGTTAAGGGCTTTGCTCAAAGGCCCAACACTGAAATCACTCTAGCAGTCATGGGATTTGACCCTCTGACCATCCGATTACAGTCCTAACCCACAGAGCTACACACTTGCACCTACTGCAACCACTTTCCCGGTATGGCAACGCAATCCGGTAAAAAAACAAAAACAAAAAAACAATGCAGGCAAGCAGAGAACGTCGCACATTTTTGTCTGGGAATGTCAGAAGGGTCGCGCTTCATAGCACACCTCCTCTCAGGCGGGAAGGCCGAGGGGGAACAGGATCACTGAAGATGGCACATGGGGGGCAGGGGGGTGGGGGGGCACTGGTGAAATGTGCAGGAGATAATGCGAAATAACCAATAGGCTGCTGCGGGGGACGTGCATGGCGCTAATGGAGGGATGATGGAGAAAGAAAATGCCAGGGGAGGTGAGTGAAGAGGTTATGTACATATAAAGATAAGAATAAAGAAAAGACATTGCAAAAGGTGGAGATAAAGAATAAAAGGTGGGGTGAGGTGAAATCGAGATGTTAACGGCAGAGATACGGCTCAGCAGAGTGACGGCCCGTGAGATAAAGCGGGACCGGAGGGTCCTGCCGATCCGACGCGCTCACCTTGTCCGCTGAGGCGCAGCAGGGACACTGACACCGGAAGTGGTACTGATCCCGGAGCTGCCGCTGCCTGTCCTCGCTGGGCATCCGCGTGTCTATGTAGCTGATGGTGAGCTGGGTAAGGACAGGTGCCAGACGGGGCACACGGATCAGTGCGAGGCGGCTCACATGACATGGACGCCTCTGCCCCCACGTGTCGACCTCAAACACGGCTGGCTGTGGCTAGAGGCGGGAGCCCAGGGCCCTGCAGTTACCCGCCTCGGGGTTGGCGGCTTTGCCTGGGGCCCCACAGCAGGCCAGCCCGAGTCTCCCGTACTTTCAAACACTCCATTTTAGATTTTATAGACCGTCCACATGTCAGCATTTCAGCTCAAGGCCTCTGGAAAGGCAGCATGAACAGCTACAGGAGCAGCAGATATAGGAAAAGAGGCAGGACGAGGCCTGCTGCAAAACGCTGGAGGACACGAATGAGCTACAAAGTCAGACTCACGAGAAAAGTCATTTATGTCTTTTATATTGCATTTAATTTATCACACATTTGTCGCGTTTATTGTGACAGTTTTTTGTGACTGTTGTGGAAAAATAATGTATACAGTAACTACCTATCTGCCATTTCAGGTGGCAAAACTTGGATTTACTGTATGTAAGTGTTATTTCCTGTTTCTGTTCCTGTTCCTGCTGATATACCATCTCTGTGTTAAAAAGATGGATTAACATTGGCGACCATGAATATGATCTCACATTACATCCTGCAATCTGTATGCAATAAGTACAAGGAAAAAAAATTCTGTTTCTCGCCGTCCTTTGCAGGTTTAACCTTTCATCTGCATTAACTAAGTTAATAGAACTTCATTCACTTGATCTAGCTCATTTTCTATCTCTGTTGTCCTAAAAGCTGTCTCAGCTAGAAATAAGTTATGGAACATGTTGAAATAGCTCATTAAAAGTGAACCTTAAAAGAACCGCAGTACCTGGACTGAGACGGTTAACTATATCTATTCAACCTGACAAATAAGATTTGTTTTTGTAATGAGCACTGGGTTTGCTGGGAGCCATATGGGCGCATTAATGGACACAATGGGTCGGTTACCTCCTCAAGGGCTGGGATGTCCTGGATGGCTTGCAGACAGAGTTTGGTTCCTTGAAAGATCATCACACAGTTGGGCCTGCAGTCATGGTTCAGCAGGGACATGCTGAGAGGGAAGGAGATACAGATGTGATGCTGAGAGGGAAGGAGATACAGATGTGATGCTGAGAGGGAAGGAGATACAGATGTGATGCTGAGAGGGAAGGAGATACAGATCTGATGAGGATAAGAATGATTTGAGTCAGCAGAGCTTTGTAATTATTGGTACAGGTGTGTGGGTGTTGCAGTGACGCCTTACAGATTGACAATACTGTTGATATCACTTTGGATGCTTTATCTACCCGAGTATAATTTCCACTGATAGAAAATTTTGACACACACACACACGTGCACACACACACACACGCACACACACACACACACACACAAATGTATTACCAATAACAGATACTCTATTTTGTATTCATACATTACTGAAGTGAAGTTATTTGATTCAAAATGTCTGAGAGGAAAGACTAATTAAAATGAGATCCCATATTTGTGAGTAAATATGCATATCAATAAAATACTGGGCCCTTTGCAAAGGCAGGTTTCTCCATGTAGAACTTACAGCCATTTGATTTAATTGTAAGATGATCATGCATATGCAGAACGCATTCATCATAGTAATGGTTATGAATTGGGATTCTGCGTTTTGGCCTCCAGCATTCGTCTTCTGCAATAATTGTTATTCTTCTGCATAAACTGTCATGTCGTGTTTGGCAAAGAATCCAATACAATTAACCTGAACAGTTACTATGAATTTCACATAGACTAAGGCAAAAAAACATGGTGTTTATTTCCACAACAACGTAATCAAAATTCAAACCTTTCTCTTTGGCTGCGAGGTTACTGCCCTTACAAGTAAAAGCTTCCTTATAATACAAAATATATTCTCTGACTGATGTTACACTACTTTTTTTACTCTGTCTGAGAGACTCGCTTCAGGCAAGATGGCAAACGGAACCGCATGACATGGAGATGAGTGGAAGAAAGAGGGATTTCATATGGCCACGGGAGCCGAGCCAGATTTAACAAAACGACGGGGAAGAACGAAAACAGCAC